CCGGCGGCGGGGGAGGTGGAGGCCGGCGGGGGTGGGGATCGGGGAGGCGCAGGAGCGAGGCATCCGCCGCGCGCCCCATCAGCCGCCGACCGGAGGAGGAGGCAAACTTAAGAGTTTGGGGGCAGGGGTCTTTCAGTATCATGTTCAAAAATTGGCCTGTCATTTTACTTATTCATATGTATTAATGGCTTTTCTATTGCTGTGATAAACACCATGACCAAGTCAACGTTAGGAATAAAATGCAAGGAACCTTGGAGGATTTCATAGCCGGGGAGGTTGACTGAGGTGGTTGGACAAATATGCCAGGCAGGAAGCGCTTAAGTGAGAAGTTTTATTAGAAAGGGAAGGGAGGAAGACAAAGGAGGAAAAAAAGACACAGAGACAGAGAAAGGACAAAAGAGAAGAGGGAGACGGGAAAAGTCCTGTCTGCCCCAGGGGAACAGCCGGAAAGAGAGACGAAAAAGAGAGCAGAAAGATCGAGAGCATAAATGGGTGGGGGTCTTTTCTTTTAAAAGAGTCCTTTGCACGAGCATGCAGACTACACAGTCATGGAACCCTGGACTGACCAGAGTACTGCCTGAGTGCATTCTGCCAGCATAATGCAGAGGCTGGCCAGCATAATGCAACCCTGGACTGACCAGAGTACTGCCTGAGTGCATTCTGCCAGGTGACAGAGGCTGGCCAGCATAATGTCTGGATCCCTACAAGCAACCTATATAAGACAGGGTTTATTTGAACTTATGGTCCAGACGGATGAGTTTGTCATGGCAAGAAACAGCAGGCATAAAAAAATAAAAAATAAAATAAAATAAAAAAGAAACAGCAGGCATGATGGCAAGATGAGAGCTCACATCTTGAACTGTGCAAGCACGAAGCATGCTGGGAGAGCAAACTCAAAATGTCAGGAGTCTTTAAACTCCCAAAGTCATCCCACAGTGAGATGCTTCCTCCAACAAGGCTATACCTTCTGAGCCTCCCCAAGCAGCACCACCCCACTCACAGAGATCCAAGTATTCCAACATCTGAACTGTGGGGAACATTCTCATTCAACCCACCAAATCACGCACATATTGGACTCTTCACTGCTGTGACAATTTAAGAAACAGTTTAAGGAGAGGGGGTTTATATTGTCCACAGTTTTAGCGTTTTCCACACATGGTGAAGAGCACATGGGACAGCTACTCACATCACAACAGCCAGGAAGCCCGGGGTGGGGGTGGGGTGTGCCCACACTAGCCAGCTTGCTCTTTTCTTTTTCCTCCTAGGTGGTTCCCAGCCTATCAGACTATGGGGCCTACATTCAGGTCAGGTCTTTCACACTTAATACATCCTCATAGACAATGGGGAAGCACACTTTACTTATCTTCCAGACATATCCTAAGAGCATGAAGGAAGTTGAAATGAAATACTCAAAAGTTGACACAAGGGGACAACAGCAGCTGGTAGATACAACCTTGCCTTCCAGATAGAGGCACTAAACCCTCTGGAACTTTCCATAATAGCATCTGCAGTACACAGACAGCTCCCTTCTATAAACACCTTGGGCATGCCTAACACCAGAGTTTGTCTTTAGAAGGCATTCATGGAAAATGTCACTTGCTGTGGAAAAGTTCATTTTCCCCACTAGACTGGTCTTTGAGACCCAGGATGCCTGAGCAGCCCCAGTCCTGCAGGGTCAGGCTCACCCCTGTGTCTGGTGTAGCAGAGGCACTTGGGACTTCCATGTGGTGAACTATGGGGCATTTGGACTCAGCTAAGGGAGGAATGTCCCTGATCAGCTCTGTAATCCTGTCTCTCTCCTATTTTCTCTAACACATTTGTGCTTCAGTAAAAGTGCAGAGTAGCCAATCATAGTGGCAGAGGCAGGTGGATCTCTGTAAGTTCAAAGCCAGCCTGGTCTATGTAGTCAACTTCAGAACAAGCAAGGCTACAGAGAGAAGAAAAGGCCCTGATCTCAAAAAAATGTAATACAAAATAATAAAAGTGCAGTCCAAGGCTGAAGAGATGGATCAGTGTTCAAAAGAAGTTCCAGATCTTGCAGAGAATTCTCAGTTCCCAGCACCCACATTGGGCAGCTCACATCCACCTGGAACTCTAGTCCCAGGGGACTAATGCCCCTGGCCTCCATGAACAAATGCACAAATGTGCAGAGAACCATGACAGAAACACACACATATACATAATGTAAAAATAAATCTCTGGGAAATAAAATTGCAGTGCAACTTTAGCAATCTGAACTCTGAAACCCCTTCCATCAGCCTACAAACCCTGATTCACAAAGGTTCTGAAGGGACCAGCTCCCCCTTTCGGCAGCCATAACAGCCCAACACATATTTGTCTGACCTTGTCTTAGTCACTAAGGTCAGATGCCTGCCTCGTGACAAGGAACCAATCAGAAGTTAG